GGCAGCATCCCAAGGGAATTCTGAGGAATTGCCCCTTGCGAGGGTCGATGCCACTGTCACGCAGGAGGAGGGGAAGGTTCCAGCCCCCAGCCCGGCGTGTGTGACCTGTTCCTCTCTGCCAGGTGTTCCTGAAGCCGGGGGTCCTYTCCAGGCTGGAGAAGCAGCGGGACAAGCTGATAGCCCAGAAGATGACTCTGCTSCAGGCTGCCTGCAAGGGCTTCCTCAGCCGACAGAAGTTCAAGAGGTTGAAGGTACCGATCCCATGGGTTGGGGACTCTCTGAGCCCATGGGGTGTGGCCCAGAACACCCAAATCACAGCTCTTTTGGGCCCCTTTGAAGGGTACCAGCTTTACCATGAGATGCTGTGCTGCCATCCCTCAGCTCCTCGGCCACTCTTCCCTCTCCAGCCCGGTGTCCCAACCTGGTCCAGGTGAGGGTCACTGCTGCCCTGTCCCCACAGATCCAGCGCCTCGCTGTCCGCTGCATCCAGAAGAACCTGGTGGTGTTCCAGGCGGTCAGACACTGGCCCTGGTGGCAGCTGCTGGGCCACGTGCGGCCCCTGCTCAGCGTGAACCTTGCCGAGGAGCAGCTTCGTGCTAAGGAGGTGAGTGCTGAGGGATGGGATGGGATGGGATGGGATGGGATGGGATCCATAGAATGGGATGGGATGGGATGGGATGGCATGGCATGGCATGGCATGGCATGGCATGGCATGGCATGGCATGGCATGGCATGGCATGGCATGGGAACCATGGGATGAGATGGAATGGGAACCATGGGATGGGATGGGATCCGTGGGATGGGATGGCATGGCATGGCATGGCATAGTGTGGCATGGGATGGCATGGCATGGGTGGGACAGGACAGAACTGGCTATTTCAGGGGCTCTGCCTGGTGGGTTGGTCAAACTGGTCCCACGTCTGCCCAGGATATTTTTCCAACCATCCGAAGTTGCCGCCTGTTAGTGCTGCATTTTTTGCCCTGTGTCACACATTTTGCAGAGGGAGAAGTAATTTCTTCTTCTTCCTTAGAGGGACAGTAGAAAACACACCATGTCCCCACAGAAAACCCCATCCCAGGGTCCCATTACTGGCCTCTGAGCCAAACCCCTGGGGATGGGCTCGTCAGCACATGGGATGCTGGAAATGAGCATTCAAACACATCTGTGACAGAGGAAATCCCAATCTGTGCTGTTCCCAGTGCTGTGCTGTGTTGTCCTGGGTTTTGGGAGCTGCTAATGGACATTTTTTGCCCCAGGAAAAGCTCCTTTCACCCCTCTGATACCTGTGCTGAATTCCTAGTCCATCTTTCCTGAAGTCCTGCTCCTCCTTTTGGCTTAGGGAGATTTTAACAAGATGTTTCCAGGCTGCCTCAGATAAAATAAAAGCTGCCCAATCCTGTGTTTTTTGCCTCCAAACCCACCTGGGATCCATCAGGCCCCATCATCTGTTTTTTTATCACGGCTCTGCACGTTCTGCTCCCGCTCAGTGCTGGGCATCAAAGCAGGACAGAGCTCCTGTTGCCCAGGAAGGAATCACAGCCAACACCGTGCCTCTGCACCGTGCTGTGATCCCTTCCAGGACCTTGGGACAGTCCCTGGGCATGAGCCAGGCCCCTGGCTGTTCGTCCCAACCTTTTGAGGTTTGCTGCTCTCTGGTAAAACGTGCTCTGCACACAGCAAAGCTGACATTCCCTCCGATGGAATTCATGTCAGGAGCCGKAGTGCCGGCAATTTGCAGTGAGCAGCCCTTCAAAGCTGCCTGGTAAATTTTATTAATAAGGCAGCTGTGTCTCTTCCACTTATTTTGAACAGAAAACAAGGTTTTCATAAATAAACCGAGGATGCTGGAACTGTGTGTGTGGTTTTTTTTTTCCAATTTTCCCTAGGAGGAGCTGGCGGCGCTGAGAAGGAAGCTGGAAAAATCCGAGCAGGCATGCAGCGAGCTCAAGCAGACTACAGAGAGCCTGGAGAGCAAGGTGCAGACCCCAAAACCTCTGGTGCAGACCCAAAAAGTTTGGTACAGACCCTAAACCTCTGATACAGCCCCCAAAACCTCTGGTACAGACCCCAAACCTCTGGTAGAGCCCCAAAATCTCTGGTACAGCCCAAAACCTCTGGTACAGCCCCCAGTGCTGCTGTGCCCTAAGAACTGTCAGGACTCTGGGTGGCTGTGGGATGGCAGAACACCCCCAGCCATGCCCAGACTGACCCCCTTTGCTCCCCCAGATCATTGACCTGACCACGGAGCTGTCRGACGAGCGCTACAAGGGCGATGTCACCTGCCAGGCGCTGGATGGGGAGCGGGCGGAGCGGCTGCGGGGCACCCGCGAGCTGCAGGAGCTGCAGGTACCCTCAAACTGTGACARTGRCCACTGTCACAGCCCTCCTGA